TTAGAGATGAATATTTTCAATATTTACAAGCAACCTGGATATGATAATGATTTACAAGAAGTAGATTTTATTGAAGAATTAATTTATGATCAACTTGAATCTACTTTGAGTAAAATTGAGTGGGATAAATCTAAAGATTTGCAAATAATTTATTCCCAGGCAGAAATCACGGATGAAAAAGACACAAAAAATATTGATGCGGATCTTTTATCAAGAGTGACAACATATTTGACATTCGACATTGACATGACTAAAAGATTGATGTCTTCTCCCAAGTGCAGGAGTGTTGAAGTAATAAATAACCTGGCAAGACCAGGGTCGAACAACAACGAGGTTAATTGTACAAATTATAAACGACAATAGTACAACAACAACAATAATAACAACAACAACAATAATAATAGTAATAACAATAATAACAACAATGACAATAATAATAATAACTATAATAATAATAATAATAGTAGTAGTAGTAGTAGTAGTAGTAGTAGTAGTAGTAGTAGTAATAATAATAATAATAAAGAAAGAGAAGAAGAAGAAGATGATGAGAACTTGGAGATAGAAAATTAATGTAAGGATTAAACAATAATAATAACAAATGTCAAGGTTAGAGGTTCCACTAATGGTATATCAAACAAGTATAGTATAAACTCTTATTATTGAATTGGAAACCACACACAAAGGAGGTTCCAATCAGATTATATATTGTTAACATGATTACATTAGTCATCTTATTCAATTAATGCTAATACTTGTAAATCTCGTCAAGCATTCATGATTATAACTTATGTTAACAACAAATCAAGTTCCTTTCATAGCTCAGGTGTCGGTTATACCATACATTATGGGCTATGAAAGTGCCAAGCATTTGTTGTACCAAATGTTATACAACATAAATGTATGAACTATGAAAGTGTCAAGCATTTGTTGTACCAAGTAGTATACAACATAAATCAAGATTAGTCATTTAACAAGCAAAGTATTAAAGAGTGAACAAGATAACAAATACAAAACATGTTATTATCAAACATTAAAGTCCATATTAAGTTTACACTATACTTATTCTTACACCATTAGTGTAGCCTTTTCACCTTGACATAATAAACTTAGCTAGACATAATAAAAGAAAGAAAAATAAATAAACAAAATAAGAACATAAATAAGATAAAAGTTAACTAAGTAAATGAAAGGAAATGAAAGGCATAAACTTGATATTAATGAAAGCAAAGCATAAACATTACAAAGAGAGAAAGCAAGAGCATGATCTTGATCTGGACACCAAGATGCCTAAATGCATAGCAAATGCCTCCTTTTATAGGCCAAAATTGGGAACTATTGATTTGATGACTAATTGATAAGTGGGTGGCCATCTCTTGACTTGGTGACAATCCTTATCTTCTCTTGTCTGCCCAAAACGTCATTGATAACGTCAAAATTGGAGCCACTCAAAATCATGAAAGTTGTAGGAAATTTTATCAGCTGTCTTGTGTAAAACATTCAGCTCATTTGGACTTCTAGAACTCTAGATATGGCCAAAATACTGAACAGTGCTCGAGCTGGAGGATAGATTCGGGCGTCTTTGTTGTTGCTACAATTTCATCTTGAAAATGGCCTTTTTAGATCTTGAGGTCCATATGAAAGTTATAGGCCTATGTCTTACCTTTCCATCCATATAAAGTAGACCTAAATCTGAGATTTATAGCTCCAGATATGACCCAATTACCGAACAGTATTCCGGTTTGGATTGCACCAACATCTCTTTTCTAATTTTGGTCATCTCTTTGCCCTTGCAATTTAAGTTCTTAAAGTCATCAATCAATCCTTTCATTTTTGTGATAGGCCTGCATTTAAAATGAACATTTACCACAAATTAAAGATATCTTATATTATTAGATATATTATTATAAAATATGCTTTAGTTAAGGAGTTACTGATACTTCAAGTGCAAAAGTGTCATTAAGTCTCTTATTTTACATATATATTTATTGTTTTTATTTGGTTTCTTTTATAATAATTGATGTGCTTTTCAGTAATGAAGTTTGTTTTAATGTTTCAATAGGTTTTTGGAGCTTAAATGAATTAATTCAGGAAATTCAACGTCGGAATTCAAAACAAAGAATTGAAGAGACATTTAGTTGAAGATTGAAGCAAATCTTGGTTCAAATAAGTGCTCCAAATTTGTCCCAAAAATCAATTCTATTCCAATTCTAGAAAAGAATATCATATGATCTATTTTAAGCCCAAACTTGCCTTATGTTGTGTGCAAACTTCAACCATTAAACACTCAAGGTTTCAATGTCAATCTTAGCCCAAATAATAGGTATATTTGTATACTTATTTGATGCTTAAATTCAGCCCCAAATCAGCCCCAATTCAACCTTCAAATCAGCCCAAACACAATCCATGATCTTACATGTCCACACAACAACAATTGATTTATTTTGGGTAATCCATTGATCCAAGAAAGCAAGCACATGGATGGAAAGCTGGAGGGGACATTTTTACATTATTTTGGGTCAAAAAGAAGAAAGAGATAGCTCATAAATGAGGAAGAAAAACGTGCACCAAATTGGTTGCAAAGCTGTCCTGATTTGATTTTTCAGAACACCTTTTGGTGTTTTGCCCATAACTTTTGACTCAAGTGTCCAAATGAGTTGTTTGTTAATGATCTGGAAAGGTGACAAACTTTCCTATAAATATGTCTCTAATAGACGTTTCCAAAAAAGGCTTTGAAGAGGGTCAAATTGCTGTCCAAAGTTAGAGTCAGATTTGTGTCCGAATTTTTTCTGAAATTGTGTTGTGTTCTTCTTTATAGATTTCGGTTCTTTAGTTTGTAAAACTTATTATTTCAGTTTAATTCAAGTTATTTCATGTTTATTGAAGTGTTCTTATATATAATCATGGTTGGCTAAACTCTTTCTTGGATCCAAATCAAGGATAATGGTGATTGAGGTGAGTTCTTTAGGATATGAATGAATCTTAATGTTTATATTCTCATTTTCTTCATGAATGATTTATTATTGCAAAGAAATTTTAGAAATCATTTAGGTAATGTTTTAATCTTGAATTTTTATGCACACACTTTAGTTTTGGTATAGAGATTGCTTGATTCAATGTCTTACTTAATATGGAAGTACTTGTTCATTCTTAAGCAATAATCAATATTCATCTTTCTAAACTTCATTGTAATATCTTCTGATCTAATATCACCATCGTTGATATTAGGTTGAGTTATCTTATATATGTTGAAGAAATCACCAATACATCACCATTAAAATTGATTTGGACCAACACTTACTTTTTCTTGTCATTTAAAATCTATTTACACTTTTTCATCTTTGAAAACAAATCCATCAATTATTTTCAACCAAGTTATTATTAATTTAATTTCTCTTGAGTTTTTTCTTGTTACCTAGCTTAATTTCTAGATCAAGATCATGCTCTTGCTTTCTCTCTTTGTATTTTTTGTAATGTTTATGCTTTGCTTTCATTAATATCAAGTTTATGCCTTTCATTTCCTTTCATTTACTTAGTTAACTTTTATCTTATTTATGTTCTTATTTTGTTTATTTATTTTTCTTTCATTATCTTTAGCTAAGTTTATTATGTCAAGGTGAAAAGGTTACACTAATGGTGTAAGAATAAGTATAGTGTAAACTTAATATGGACTTTAATGTTTGATACTCACATGTTTTATATTTGTTATCTTATTCACTCTTTAATACTTTGCTTGTTAAATGACTAATCTTGATTTATGTTGTATAACACTTGGTACAACAAAAGCTTGGCACTTTCATAGCCCATACTGTATGGTATAACTGACACCTGAGCTATGAAAGGAACTTGATTTGTTGTTAACATAAGTTATAATCATGAATGCTTGACGAAATTTACAAGTATTAGCATTAATTGAATAAGATGATTAATGTAATCATGTTAACAATATATAATTTGATTGGAATCTCCTTTGTGTGTGGTTTCCAATTGACTAATACGAGTTTATACTATACTTGTTTGACATACTATTAGTGGATCCTCTAACCTTGATATTTATTGTTATCGTTGTTAAATCTTTACGTTAATATTCCATCTCAAAGTTCTCATCTTCTTCTTCTTCTTCTCCTTCTTCTTTATTATTATTATTACTACTACTAGTATTATTATTATTATCATTATTGTTGTTGTTGTTGTTGTTGTTGTTGTTGTTGTTGTTGTTATTGTTATTACTATTATTATTGTTGTTGTTGTTGTTGTTTTATTGTTGTTGTATTATTGTTATTTATAATTTGTACAATTAACCTCCCTGTTGTTCGACCCCGGTCTTGTCGAGTTATTTATTACTTTGACACTCCTGCACTTGGGAAAAGACATCAATCTTTTAGTTGTGTCATGTAGCCTATAATGAAAAAAGATATATTAACAACAACTGAATTTAACGATATATTTCATTTAAATTAATCTTATTATCCATTTCGTTTGTGCAGCAAATGGAACGGAGCCGCCAGTGTGCGTTGTCACCCGACTATGAATTGGCCGATTCCAGTTGCCAGCACCGGACCGTGAGCATCGTGTAAACCGCTCAGACATCACGTGCTCAATATAGTACGTCCATATATCTTTTGGGATGTATATCGGTTTGAAATCCCTCCAAACCGCAACATCGTTCTAGCCTTGGAAACCCCTATCCCTCGCAGCTTTTTTTGCCTTTTTTTATGCTTCATACCAAAAATCACGCAACCAAAAATTACATTTTGAAACATAAATTTTTGTCTAAAAAAAATCTTGTATTGTTTTTGATCTTACCTAATTGCCGCGTGATTTTCCCACACCCTCCTCATAACAGTGTTATGCTCACTGTCCCAACAGAATTTGTACTGTGTATAAATGAACAAGTTTAAATAAAAATAATAATGTATTTACAATTAAATTAATAAGCTGAAAATTAGAAATTAATATCAACCTCAAACCTGTTAAACCATGCATTGATTTGAGGCATCCATTCAGCATGTTTTGATATCTGACTCCATTAAAACAATGGAATCTCCATCGATGATTTAAACGCCGATGATATTACTCGGGCGGCTTCAATGTTTGTGAACCTGAAAATAAATGAAATAAATTCAATAGTGATTATTTCATAAATTATGTTGTAATTTAAAAAAAAAACTAAAACCTTAACAAACTTACATTGAAAGATCATCCTTCCACTGTGCCTTGTACTGGCGGGTAAATTGATTCCGCTGTGAAGGCACGCTGCCTCTGTGCTGTGAAGTAGCGCTGGAAGAGGCAACATCGGTTGACGGCGCAGGAGGTGTAGGTGCCTCTTCTTGAAAGGCACCTAAGGAAATATCATCATCGCTGCTAGACGAACTAGCTGCAACCATACGTGAGTGACCAGCTCTGGTTTTTGTTCTACGCATCTACATAATTTTATACAAATAATTATATAATTAAATTCAAATGTTAAAAAAAAATTCGACAACACCTCCTCTATACTGGATACTACCCAAATCCACAAACCTACACATATTAACAATAGCCACAACCAATTTACCCAATCTATACTAATTATTCCAACATATTCAATTCATAATCCTAAGGTAAATTCAACATTAAAAATTACAATTCAACAAATTATTCAATAATTATGCCAATACAACAAAACAATAAATTAAAAAAAAAACTCTAGAATAACAATCAAAATAAATGGAAAAAATTAAACCCAAATCATGCAATAATAAAGTAAAATTAATAATTATTCCAACATATTCAATTACTAATCCTAAGATAAATTCAACATTAACAATAAATATTCAACAAATTAACTAATAATAATTATGTCAAAACAACAATAAAAAATATTCAAAAAATTAAAAAAAACTATAGACTTTAGCAATGAATTATGCAAACAAAAACTATGGATTTTATCTACATTACAAAAAAAATTGCATGGATAAAGAGATGGTCAAACTTAGAGAAGAGATGTCGGTGCAATCCAAACCGGAACATTGTTCGGTAATTGGGTCATATCTGGAGCTACAGATCTCAGATTTAGGTCCAATTTATATGGATGGAAAGGTAAGACATAGGCCTACAACTTTCATATGGAGCCCAAGATCTAAAAAGGCCATTATCAAGTCCAAATTGTAGCAACAACAAAGAAGCCCGAATCTGTCTTGCAGCCCGAGCACTGTTCGGTATTTTGGCCATATCTGGAGTTCTAGAAGTCCAAATGAGCTGAAGTTTTTACACAAGAAAGCTGAGACAATTGCCTACAACTTTCATGTTTACAACTGGCTCCAATGTTGACGTTATCAATGACGTTTTGGGCAGACAAGAGAAGATAAGGATTGTCACCAAGTCAAAAGTTGGTCACCCACTTATCAATTAGTCATCAAATCAATAGTTCCCAATTTTGGCCTATAAAAGGAGGCATTTGCCATGCATTTAGGCATCTTGGTTTCCAGATCAAGATCATGCTCTTCCTTTCTCTCTTTGTATTTTTTGTAATCTTTATGCTTTGCTTTTATTAATATTAAGTTTATGCCTTTCATTTCCTTTCCTTTACTTAGTTAGCTTTTATATTCTTATTTTGTTTATCTATTTTTCTTTCTTTCATTATGTCTAGCTAAGTTAATTATGTCAAGGTGAAAAGGTTACACTAATGGTGTAAGAATAAGTATAATGTAAACTTAATATGGACTTTAATGTTTGATACTAACATGTTTTATATTTGTTATCTTGTTCACTCTTTAATACTTTGCTTGTTAAATGACTAATCTTGATTTATGTTGTATAACACTTGGTACAACAAATGCTTGGCACTTTCATAGCCCATAATGTATGGTATAACCGACACCTGAGCTATGAAAGAAACTTGATTTGTTGTTAACATAAGTTATAATCATGAATGCTTGACGAGATTTACAAGTATTAGCATTAATTGAATAAGATGACTAATGTAATCATGTTAACAATATATAATCTGATTGGAACCTCCTTTGTGTATGGTTTCCAATTCAATAATAAGAGTTTATACTATACTTGTTTGATATACCATTAGTGAAACCTCTAACCTTGACATTTGTTATTATTATTGTTTAATCTTTACATTAATATTCCATCTCAAAGTTCTCATCATCTTCTTCTTCTTCTCTTTCTTTATTATTATTATTATTATTATTATTATTATTATTATTATTAGTACTACTACTACTACTACTACTACTACTACTACTACTACTACTACTACTACTACTACTACTACTACTACTACTACTACTACTACTACTACTACTACTACTACTAGTTATTGCTATTATTGTTGTTTATAATTGTTGTTTATAATTTTTACAATTAACCTCCCTGTGGTTCGACCCCGGTCTTGCCGGGTTATTTATTACTTCGACACTCCTGCACTTGGGAGAAGACATCAATCTTTTAGTCGTGTCATTGATGTACATTACATACAAGGTTTATCAAATGGGAAGGAGTGCACCTAAGTCATTGTCTTCACTAAGCCTGGGGCCTAAAAGAAAATGTAAGTGCTACAACAGGTATTTTGTCAATGGATATGTTTTCCATACTGAAGAATACGAGCAAGGAAGAAAGACATACAACAACGGTGTTTGTGTTAAGGGATCCACTAGTAGTGAGTTAGAAGTTGACTACTATGGTAGATTAAAAGAGGTCGTCGAACTACAATATCATAACGAGCAGAATAGAGTGTTTTTATTCAAATGCTATTGGTATGACATGACTGATAGAGGAATCAGAGTTGATCCGCACTATGGTCTGGTCAAAATCAACTTAAAAGCTAGACTCCGCAACATAAACGATGTCTTTGTTCTCGCAAAGCAATGTCAACAAGTTTATTACACATACACCCCTTCATTTAGAAAGGATCAATCAAGAGTGGATTGGTTGTCCATTTTAAAAACGAAACTCCGGGGTCGTGTCGAGGTTGTTCAGGATGAGAACGAAGACACAAATGTACGAGATGAAGTCTTTCAAGTTAGTGAGGTGGTTGAACCATATCGAGTTGCTCCTTCGATTGAATTGGAAAAAAATTCAAATTTTTGTGTTTTTGATGATAGTCTTGTTGATGTTGACGCAGAGGAGTTGAATTTTTTTTTGAGCTCTAGTGGACAAGCAAATATGGATGAAGAAGATGATATTCATATTGAAGATTGCGATGAAAGTGATGACAATTCAATTGATGATGATGAAGAAGAAAATTATGACTAACTACCAAAATGAAGCCCTATGTAAAACCCTTTTTTTCATGTAATTCAGATTATAAATGATATATTTTGAAACACAAAATATTTATTACTTGAAATAATTAGTTGAAATGCCACAATTACGGAATAATTACTTGAAATAGTTATTGATCATGGATGATATATTTTGTAACATGAAATAATTACTTGAAATGCCACCACATCATCGACGGCATTAAGTCTGTCGGCATTTCATAGAAAGTTCGAAAATACTTACTTGAAATGCCACCACATCACCAATGGCAACACCGACGGCATTAAGTCCGTTGGCATTTCATAGAGAGTTCAAAAATAATTACTTGAAATGCCACCACATCACCGACGGCCTTAAGTCCGTCAGCATCTCACAGAGAGTTCAAAAGTAATTACTTGAAATGCCACCACATCACTGACGACAACACCAATGGATTTATATCTGTCGGCACGTTGGCGATGGATCAATTTTACTGACAAACTTACAGACGAACCGCGTGCATTTGAAAGCGTTGTGCATTAAATGCATCTCTGACCGTGTCATATTGCTGACGGACTTACCAACGGAGCATGAAAAATATGGAGGGACACTAAAAAATTTGGTGCGAAATTCAAAATTTATAAACGGATTTTTAACACCTCACCGACAGAATAAATTAAAATAATAATTAATTTTGTATCCGTTGGTGAATACATCGATAAAACTGGCATATAAGTGCCCCCCGACCGCCTCTTCAGTTCATTTTCTCTTCTCCTCAGTTTTTCACCATTCTTTTCTTCTCTATGCTGCTCTCCGTTCTTCACCGACAATCTCAAGCATTTTTTGTCGTGAATCTCCATCAATTTAAAAGGTTAGTATTTCTTCTTTTTCATTTTACTTTAATGGTTTTTTTTTGCTATTTTTTTGTTATGTTTTTTGTTTTGGTGTATTTTTTGTAATGTAGATAAAGTCTATAGTTTTTTTTTTGCATAATTCATTGCTAAAGTCTATAGTTTTTTTCTGAATTTTTTGAATATTTTTTATTGTTGTTTTGGCATAATTATTATTAGTTAATTTGTTGAATATCTGTCCTATAAAATGATTATATCTTGCCTTAAATCCCTAGTAAAGTTGTAATCCTACATGCATAGATGAATTTTGGTTTTTGAATCACTCCATTTTGATATCAGAAGTTCAAGCTCTGCATGTTTAAATCTCTGACGTGAAAATAGAGAATTCTGCCACGAGCAGGATTTTGACCCAAGTTTTGCACCAAAAAAAAATTCTACTGCCATCACGATTTTTCTGGTTCATTCTTAGGGCACTCCCAGTCATATCGGGATGCTCGGCATTCGTCAGTTTTTTGAATCAGATCAGGAATTCCTTTTGACCATCTAGATTACTGCCAGTTTCTGTTCTATAAAATGATTTTCTCTCACTTCAACTCCATCAAAGTTGTAGTCCTAGACACGTAGATGATTTTAGGGTCTTGAATCTCTTGATTTCGATATCAGAAACTCAAGATATTCCTGTTTAAATATCCAACGTGAAGGTAGAGAATTCTGCCGCAAGAAGGATATTGACCCGAGTCTGCACTAAAAAAATTTCTATTTTTGGCTTAGTTTTTGTGATTTTTGTTCTTAGTTCATACTCTCAGTCATGTCAGGATTCTTGGCATTTGTCAGTTTTTGAGTTAGACCCAGAAATCTCTTTTGACCAACTAGATTACTGCCAGTTTCTGTTCTGTAAAAAGATTTTATCTCACTTTGATTTCTCATCAAAGTTTTAGACCTAGATGTGTAGATGAATTTGGGCTTTTGATTCACTTGATTTCAATATCAGAAGCTCAAGATATTCCTATTTAAATGTCTAACGTGGGCAGAAATTTTGCCATGGGAAGGATACGATTTTTTCTGGACCAAGGACTGAATCAAAAGGCATTAAAATGAGGGATTTAATTGAAGAAGGATATGGAAAGCTGGAAAGGGGGGCTGGATCATCATAAATGGAAGGATTTTTACCACACCGAATAAGGAAAATATGACTTTACAGCTGCACACTCCATCTGATTTCTATCCCTTTTTCTCTGTTGTTTTCCTTTCTCATCACGTCTGATTGTTGGAACTAAAGACCACGTTTTTGTTGCCTCATTTCAAAGGGAGAAACTGGCCCTATGGAAGGAAAGAAAAGAGCCACACCATCCTCCAAAACTGGAAAGAAATACGTAAAGCACCACCATAAAATCAAAATAATTGTAGTTTCCTTTTGTGTTTTTTACTGCAAATCAGTAGGGATTTGTGTCCTAGGATTAATGCATTGAATCCTTCCTAAATAG